CGCACACGGGCTGCAGGGAGGGGCACGGGGCAGCCCCAGCTTCCTCAGCCCAGCTCCTAATGCCCCACAAAGAATGCCTTCCCCAGTTTGTTTTTTTAAAAAAATAAATTTAAAAATCTGTTCATTTGCATGAAAAACATCTTCCTACAAAGGACCTTATCACACTAACTTGAGCTGTAACTATAGGACAAAAAGATTAGTGTGTAGTAAACAGATAAAAAAACATTATTAAGAAGCAGCGACAGTACTAGATCCAAAAAGAGCCATTTTTGCAATCTTTGCTGTATTCTGTGAGTGAGATTTATCAAATTTCTGGTGATTACTGCCCTGTGTTTTGTAAACATTATTTTATTCTATTCAGACTATTTACTGCGGTAGGTGCCTGTCAGGCAACCAGATCTAAGCACACCACCAAAAAAGTGTATTCCCCAAAATAAAACTCCACAGTTATCTTAAATGCACAGCTACTGACCTTCAGAATCGTATTTGCTTTACCAATTCACTGTAATAAAAATGAACATTTTGTCATCACTTTGGAAAACTGTGCCAAACACCTTAAAACACATGTCACATGCCAACTTTACTTCATTTTTCTCCTCAGGGAATAGATACATCTGGAATCATAATCACAGATAAAAACCTTGACAAAATTGCACATGAGCCCAGCCCTTCTCCCCAACACCTACCTCTTCATAACATTTAATACAATATTAATATCGGTTACTAAAAAGGCTTCCAACCTTTACATTTCTGACATAACATGTTCAAACCCATATTTCACACTTCTTGTTCTGTTTTAAGTTCAGTGGATTTAACAGGACTCTGGAGAGAAGATCATGTGGTTGAAGATTTCCCTCCCTCTTTGACACCCGTAGAGGCAGTTTTGGAATTGTTTAAATAGCTGTGGCTATATAAACTGGAATATGTGAGACATTGGACATCCTATTTTCCCTCACATCTATACATACATGCTTGTGTTTTCCTCCAAAATCGGTTGCTTGTACCAGTGACAAACAATTTCAGCACAACATCTGGGCAAAACCTTTGCAATATTTTCCCTCTGAACTGTATTATTCTCCTTTCCTACGCTTTCCTGGTTTACCAGACAAATACAATTAGCTAGTATTATATAATAATATTATTTGGTCTTTTCTATCTGTGATTGACAGCTTTTCAAATCAAAATAAAACACATTCTTAGTCGATCATCTTCTTGAGAGCGCGCTCCTGTTTTAAGCTCGGTTTGCTTCGGAGACAGCCAGAGATCTTATTCCAGCAGGGGTAGATGGTGGAATTATAGATCCAACAGATCCCATGCTCTCTGCAAAATACTTGGCTTAATATTTAATAGCTAATTCCTGGACAGATGTTTTTCCTGCACACCTTTATCAGACACTCATCAGCTGGCATTGCAGAGAAATGGAATTGGAGAACTTTGCAAATCTCCATTTATGATTGTGTTTGTAATTAGTGCCACGCTGGAAGTACCTTGGGCACCTCACTGTATGGCTTTGTTCACGTCAGAATGGGTAGAGCAACCTCTTTTTGTTACATATTTAACAGCTTTGAAAGACATTTTTTTAAACAGTGAATGTACCAGACAGCTTTAAAGCAGAGGACATTAAATAGGGGGCCAATTATTCATTCAGCAGCTCCACGTGCATCAAAAACACGCATACCACCGAATCTTCCTGAGACAAACCACTTCCATTTCCCATGACTCAGACACCATCTCTGCAATCACTAGATAAGGATAGCAATCGTTTCAAAACAGAAACGGATACAAAATATTTCTTGCCCTGGAATATGGGAAAAAATCCTTAAAAAGATGTTCATTTACAATTAAGGGACAGCAATGGCGACAAGGTACTTTTAAACAGAACAATGCTTCTTGTTAAGATAACTTCATTATTCTCTTTCACTGTAAAATGACCCAACGTGTCTAACTCAGTCTGTAGAAGTGCAGAAAGTGATCCATGAACGGAGCCATAATTCCCGGGGACCATTTCAGGCCAGTCCATGGAGCAGCTGACTCTGAAGCTGCTGGTCTGTCTGCAGCGACTCGGGCAGAGCAAGAGCTGAGCTGAGCTCCACTTGCTGATGAGAAGCAAACTGTCTCACATTTTAGGAGAACAACATCATTGCCTATAAAAATGAGGAAGACACAAAATAAATAAAACCAGTTAATGTTGTAGTTAACTTGCAAATCAAGTAAATCTGTTGGTGCAGTATTTTAGAAATAAACGATAACAGCATCACACCAAACACACATTTCTGAACATATACGCGCTCTGATTTTGATTTAATGGTATCTCAGCGTCAACTATTGCTTCCTTTGCTGGTACACACTTCCTGATGCCTACTGTGAAGGGTGCCCATATTTACAACTGAGTAAGATGATTAATTACACCTTGTCAATCACGGTGCATGAAGACATAACACCACAGCAGACAATGAAGAAGATGCCTGAAGCTACAATTACATTTTAATTCATAGTTTATTGTATGTTCCCATATATTGCAGTCTAATAACCGTAGGGGCATCGAAAACATATGAGATATCAATCACTCTGCCCCCTGGTCTTTCATGTTTATATTATTCCACAGCCTTTAAATTACCATAAGTAGTTACTTATTTTCTAAGCTTTCTTCTCTTCTTTCTTACCTTTTGCTTCCATTTATCTTTTATTCTTAGTACCGTTATCCAACAGCTATAAGTATTTGATAGAAGTTTGTAGCTCACTTAAAATCTGTAACAGACAACCTGAAACCCAGCAATTAGCAAAGACAGCTTAGACTTGTGTTCCTTTGTTGAAGGAGGCGTTGAATCTTTTGTTCTGATTTAGTCACGGTAGCTGGGTGGAAGCTGGTACCTCATTATGTGGTTGGTCTGTTTGTCTGGTAGGTAGCAGATGGTACTGGAGATGACGTTACCAAGAGAGGCAGGGTAGAGAAACTCAAGACCTGTGATTTGTTCACCTGTCACCTATAACAAAATACAGGTTAAAAGACTTTATTATTAGCTGCACCATTTTTCTAATGAAAAAACTCTCGTTTCAAATGAGCCCGCGTCTCATTCTGAAGACGATTTTGCTCCAGCAATTTCTCTGTTGCTCATTATTCAAGAATATCCTGGATTTCATTCTGAACAATGTAAATGTCATTCAAGTGTCAGTGTGTACATTAGCAGCTTTATGTTTACATTCTGTTACTCTCCTTGTGTTTTGGTGGCAAGGGTTGGATGTCTTCTTATGTTTGTATATCCATTAGGAAGGGAATCAGAGATAGCCTGTGAACTGGAGGTCACGCCATACTCTTTCCATGTACTCTTGGTATTACTGGTTCCATCCACTGAGGCAATTCTATAACATAAAATACTGTATTTTGATGCCGTTAAATATCTAAAATCTTTTTGATAATTAGCAGTGTCAGATAGAGTGTACAAATCCATGACCTTCCTTAACTGCAAAAAGTACGTAATCAATTCCGTGATGGGGAATTAATCTGGTATTAAAACATCTAAGGACAGTGCGCTGCAGAGCCGTGGGTGAGGATATGTACAGCAAATTGCTTGAGTGAGGATAACCCAGCAGTGTCCCACGGTGGTACGTGGTGTCCGGTGGGCAATGTCCCACCCCGTTCCTGGAGCCAAATCTCCCAGCACAGATAGGGCTGGGAAATGTCTCACAACTTTATAGAGAAAGGGAAGGAGTATTTTATCAAGATAAATACCATACAGTGCCTCTAATTGTGCTGCAGAATTCTAATCTGAATTCAAACATGAACTTCCATTGTTTCCGAGGTCTGATTTTAGGACAGTCTTTGGATAGTTCCCACAGATGCCAAATTAGCTTGCGTTCTGTATGATTTCCTGAGGGGTCTTGTGGCTATTTCATATGCATTTCTACAAGAGACACCTTGTTCTCCTCTGTGACATGCAAGTGTCTTTAACTACTCACAGCAATCTCAACAGAAAGATGATAAAAAGCCTCGATTGTTGTAAGAACAGAACACATAAACACAGGAGAGTTTGACTATAAACAGAGTCATTGCAGTTTTAGCAAGGATAGCCCTGACCATGCTACACCTGTAAGAGGCAAATGGCTCTGCCAGAACACACCACCTGAGTGATGTAAGAGTCACAGCCACGATGAGGCAGCGAGTCTCATGATCTCACCGTGCATTCACATTCACCTTCCATTGTGCTACCTTTGTAACGTCATTAGAGGTGTGATATTTGACATCTTTAATACTAATTAGTCCTTCCTCACTACCCACCTCCTGGATAAATATTTAGACATCGTGAACAGTCTCCCTGCTTACTCTTTGTCTTTTCTGGAGACTTCCTGAAGCTTCTCCTCAAGTTCGGAGACCTTCTTGGCCTGGTTTTCTTATAGTCTACTTGGAAACGTGAGGCCCAGGTTTGTGGAAGGCTCCACGAACTGGGATGACTCAAATTATGATGTTCTAACATCGAGTATTCGTCATGAGGGGGTTGTTGGGTGCATTCAGCTGGTCGCGGATGTTTGGGGCACCGTGATCTCAGAGTGGTGCAAACTTCTGACCGCTCCTCGTCCCTCGCCGCGTTCTGCCCCACGCGCTCTCTGTCACGCCACGGTGCCGCACGTCGCCGAGGGTCAGGAGGTGACCAAGGCCAGCCCGGGCGCGGGGCCCGAGGCCGCGGGGCGCGGCAGTGCCGGGTGCGGGGACAGCGCGGGGACAACGCGCGGGGCCAGCCCCGGCCCCGAGCACATGCGGCGGGCCCGGGCGGGCGCAGCCAATGGCGGCGGGGCAGGACATGATGTCAGCGGGGCTGTAGAAAAGGCGCGGAGCCCCGCGCGGTGCCCGCGCCGCAGACGCGCCGCTCCAGCCCCGCCGCTCCGGCCCCGCCGCTCCGGCCACGGCCGCGCTCCCGCCCGGGCCCCGCGGGCCGCGCCGCTTTAAGGAGAGAGGGGGGCCGCGAGTGCCCGTCCCATCTGGTGCCCGTCCAACTCTCCCTCCTTCCCCTTGGCTTTTTCTTTTCCCAATGAGCTCCACCGGGCTGGGGGAGGAGCGGGGGAAGGAGCAAACTTTGCCCCTGAGCTGCCGCCGCTGCCAGCCCTCTGGACTGTGAGTGCGTACGGTGGGCACCCGCCCCAGCCTCCCTGCAGCACCAGCCCGCTCTCCGCCTGCTGCAGCCTCCCTCTCCCTCGCTTTCCTCCTCTAAATTTCGCACAGTACGATGTAGGGGGCTTGTCGTTATTTCTTTTTTCAATTATTATTTATTTTTCACCGAAGATGGTTTAATTTTTTTTTATATTCCTATTATTTATTAATCCCTCCCAACCGTAAACCTGCCCAACCTTCTGCCAGCTTGGCCAGAGCATAAAGCCTGGGACTGCACCTGGGGCAATGAGCCCTGCACTGAAGAAGCCTCCTAGAGGGATGTGCCGGGGCCGCGCAACAGACTAGATCCAAGCCCCGAAGCTCACACCACCAGTTATCCCTTCTCCCTCAGCCCCTGCGCCCGCCTTTTCTGCGCCCCATCCCCCTGAAAGCTCGGACCAGTGCTTGCGTCGCGCTCCGGAGAGCTCTGCCGGGGGAACAGCCCGGTGCCCGAGGACAGACGGGGCGGCCGTGCTAGATGCATGGGGGAGGGCTCCGGTTAATGCAAGTTCTGGGCTCCTGCAGGGACCCCGACAACTGTCAGCAGCAGCAGCAATTCGGGCCCTCCTCCTCTGCTTCCTCAGCGATGCTTTTCCACAGTCTTTCCGGCTCGGAGATGCACGGGGTCATCGACGAGATGGATCGGAGAACCAAAAGCGAAGCACCGGCCATCAGCTCGGCTATAGACAGGGGAGAGACGGAAACGGTAGGAGCCGAAGGAATGGGAGAGTCAGGCACCCCCCTAAACGTACCAAACCCCTCACTGATGCAGCTTTTCCCCTAAAATAACAGATCGGGGGAAAACGTATGCAAAATGCTAAATCAGAAGAGAATTGAGCATAAAGGCACCCCAAAAGATTAAATGAAACCGTGGGGAAAGGCATGAAACTGTTAATTATTAATAATATGCATAGTAATAGTAACGCTTGGGTGAAATGAACGGTACTGCTCTTGCGAGGAAACAGAAGGATAGACCAGCCTTTTGGTAGCGTCCAAGAACTCCTTCCCTTCCCCCAGCCTGTCCGGCCTTCCAAAGTTTTTAGGAAGAGGCAAAGTATGGCTTTATAGCGATAACGTTTTTGCACAGCGAATTTTTTGTCTGCAGAATGGAAACACAGACAGCAAAGAATCCAGTTCTGTGTTATTTTTCAGGTAGGATGTCTGCAGTGAGGGAGTCTTTATGGCATTTATTTAAAAAAAAACCAAAGCAAAACAAACCCGAGTGCCTTTAAGTTATGGTTTTTAAAAAATAATTTTAATATGTGGGTTTGTAAACATGGCACACAGAACTGGAAGATATGTTTCAGGGAGATGGATGGATGCGATTTTTTATAACTTTACCACTTTTTACCTTCTGTCTGCTGATGCATAGTGCTTGTATATTAATACGTTTAGATAATAAAAGGATACATCCATTTAACTGGTGTGAAGCTGGCAGAGTGGGAGAGATTTCCGAAGTGTCTTAACTGATTCAACAATTCTTGTGTGCTTTTTTTGTGTGTGTGTGGAGTGAAACGATCTCGTACGTTGGTTAAATGCTGTCTTGTAAGCTGATACGGGCATATGCAAGGAAGATCTGTTCTCGGGTTTTCAAACTCCATCAGTATGTGTTCTTTCTCTTAATGCTATGTGGAAATTTGCTTAAAGGTGACAGTGAGACTTGAATCCTGAAATACTGACCGGAAAACAGCCTTTGTGCTATAAGGGTGGGACGTGATTTCTAATTTAAACGGCTTTGGTTTTCTTTGAAAAAGTTAATATTTCTCCGTTCAATTAAACAGCATCGAATGATCTTTGTTGGAATAAATATTGTGACATGATAGCTTTATCTAATTATATATAATGTATATGCATACACGTGTGTACATAACAAACAGTGGGATGGAGTACTCGATCCTTGAATGCCATTTCTGGATCTCAGAATATTTTTGTGACTAGAAAAGCAAGGTAGAAAAAATCGTTATTTCATTTAAAGTGGTTTTACAAGAAACGACTTTGGTTATAAAATGATCCCTACTCGGAGTTCGGTTAATGCCTTAAAGAAACAAGCTCCCGGTGGGCTCCCGTGACTAACACCGGTGGAGTGCCAGGGTTTTATTTGTGTGGAGTTCTTGCTAGTGGGAACGGTGCGGTGCAAACGGGAGCGCTCGCAGCGACGGGGTTTTGTGATCCCCGCAAGCAGGGGATGAAAGTAGCGGGTCCGGCACAAGCTGCAAACCCAGCCCCGGTCCCTTGCCATTCCCCCGGTAGCTGCCTTTGCTTTTTGCTTTGCGCGAGGATTTAAGGCTCTAGAGGAGGTAAAAGCAAACAAACAACTTCTCCCCCGCCCCGAACCAAAACAAACTGCGTGTTGGGCACAGCTGTAAGGAAATGTTTCGGGTTCTCTTGCACAAGAACGAATCTACCGTGGGCTTTTGTGCAAAGCGGGTGAGAGTAAGTCGGGACCGAAGTGGAAAGCAGCGTATGGCGAGGTCTGCCCCAAACCCTGCTCCACCGAGCCTCCTCTCCCGATCGCGGTTTTAAGGTGCCTGCTAAAATAAATAAGCGTGCTCAAGCGGTTCCGATATTTCTCTGTCTTTCTTTTTCGCTAGAAGTCGACAGGATATGAATGAATTTGGGGTTTTTTTTGAGAGTTTCGATTGGATTGAGATTTGACACTAAACTATTAAATTATATAGGGCTTACATTTAGTTTTATTGCTTCCAAGTTTATCCCAGCATAATCTAAAGTGCTCTATTTTTTTTTTCCCACTTTCTTTCCAACACGTTTCCCACTATTTCGTTTTCCTGTTAAAATATTCTGCACCTCGGATTTAGTAATGCTCGTCTCCTCCGCAGCTTTGTTTACTGATCCCTTTAGTACTTTGGGTCACAGCAGATCGCGATCCGTGTTGTTTGGGACCAGCTTGCAGAGAGCTGTGTCTGCAGCACTGTGACTACTGGGGGTTTGATCGTAATTCATTCGGAATTTTATAGCTAGGAAAATACACACACAGACACGCTCCACATACACGCACTCACAGAGCATTAGCTATGCAGACACTCTCAGTATATCCATAATAATAAATTTTAAAATTAACTATCTGCGATTTGCCCTACTCTGTGATTATTGCGCCCGTTTATTGTACGGTATCTTTTCTTGTTTTGGGACTGGAAAATCCACCAGGAAAAAAAAAAATGAATAAAAAAGTTGTGTGTCTGGTCCGGATGCCTCCCCTAAAACCCAGGGTGGTTTTCTGTTTGTCTCGCCCGCTTCCCCGCCTCCTCCGGGAAGGTGGGATGCGGCGGGACCCTGGGGATCGGGCACGGGGCCTGTCGGGGCGGCAGGCGCGGAGCCCCCGCTCCTCTGGCAGCCCCTGCGAGGGAGAGCAGCGGCCGGCCGGGCAGGGGGAGGGGGAGCCCAGCAGCGCTCAAGAGTTTCTCCCTGTCGCTAACGGTCTGTAATTGTTTTCCCCCAGCAGACCATGCCTTCCATCAGCAGTGACAGGGCTGCCCTGTGTGCCGGCTGCGGGGGGAAAATCTCCGACCGTTATTACCTCCTGGCTGTGGATAAACAGTGGCACATGCGCTGCCTGAAGTGCTGTGAATGTAAACTCAACCTGGAGTCCGAGCTCACCTGCTTCAGCAAGGACGGCAGCATCTACTGCAAGGAGGACTACTACAGGTACAGCTCACCCTCGGCCACCAGCCGGGGAGGGGGCACTGCCCGCCGACCCCCCAGCACACCCCGTCCTGAGGAGACTGAGGAGGGGATCCGTGGGCACACCTGGGGCAGGCTGTGGGCTCCTAAAACCTCCCCCTGCAGAGGGACGCTCGTGGGGAGGATGAGTGCCACATTCCAGGAGGGGGGCACGGCCCGGGCACAGCTCCCCCAGCCTGGCTGTGGGTACTGGGGCCTGCTGTGCGGGGTGTGGGGCAGCAGGGCCGCTCCCCACCTGCCCGCGGTGCCTCCTCCGGCCTGGGACTGCGGGATGTTCGCAGGGCGGGGGTCAGTGCGTCTTCCTGGTGGGATCTGGTGGGGCAGGAGCTGCCTTGTGAGGTGCAAACGGGACGGGGCGTCCCCACGCTCCTGTCCCACGGGGCCGCCTGGCCGGGCTCTGCAAACCGGCTTTGTGCCACTGCCCAGGCCAGGCAGCCCCCAGGCCTCACAGCCCTCGGCCGCCCTCCAGGCAGACCCAACCGAGGACACGGGGTGGGGGCAACGTAACTCTCACCATCTCCTCTGGCCTTTCTGTTTTGCAGGAGGTTTTCGGTTCAGAGATGTGCGAGGTGTCACCTGGGGATTTCTGCCTCCGAGATGGTCATGAGGGCCAGGGATTTGGTATATCACTTAAATTGCTTCACTTGCACCACTTGCAACAAGATGCTGACCACTGGCGATCACTTTGGCATGAAGGACAATCTGGTGTACTGCCGCCTCCATTTCGAGACTCTCATCCAGGGGGAGTACCAGGTGCATTTCAATCACTCGGATGTAGCCGCTGGGAAGGGCCCGGCTTTGGGAGCGGGCTCTGCCAACACTTTGGGACTGCCTTATTACAACGGCGTGGGGACTGTCCAGAAGGGGAGACCCAGGAAAAGGAAAAGCCCAGGGCCTGGAGCAGATCTGGCAGCCTACAATGCAGGTAAGAGACCCCCACCTTCTTCCGGAACAGTTCAAATGGTTTGTTTCTGTTCATTTCCAAAGGGGGATTTCCGTTTATTTTAGCTTAAACCGTTAATAATAGTTTTGCTGCAGCATAATTATTGAGATCAAGTGCTGTCAAACTGCAATTACAGAAGCTAATATGTTAGCATTTTTCACTTCAGCTGGAAATAAAATGTTTTGAAGCAAGGTCATCTGGTTAAGGGGGAGGAGGGGGGAGAAGGGGGAATGTAGCCTGAAATAAAATCTGGAAACCAGAGATTTTAAGTTAGCACTTTGGAGAGCCGTGAATTTTCTTTAGTGGTTACACTTAAAGGCTGCTGACGGGTGAATTATTCTACCCTGTCCTGAGCTCTTGCACCCCAAAGTTTTGGAAGGAGAGAGACAGAGAGAGAGGAAGCAGCCGTTTCCCAAGGGCCCGCGGTGGGAGGTGGCTGTGGTGCAGGGCTGAGGGTGCCCAGGCAGGGGCTGTGGGCTGCAGGTGTCTGGGGGCAGCACGGGGCAAGCTCGGCTGCAGTTTTGTTCTTCAGACGTGACTCGGAGAAGAGTCGGGAGACTCGCAGCATCCCTTTTCCGTCCCCTCGCTGCCCCTGAGCCGAGCCCAGCAGCGGGAGGACCGGGAGCGGATCTGGCAGCAGCCGGAGCTCTGTGTATCCAGCTGCAAACTTTCCGATGTGTTTCCTTGTTTAACCTCCCGGCCGCCACAGCACTGTTAATTTTGCAGGCAAAGGAATTCGAGCAGTCTCCTACCCCTCCCCATCCCCGCTCCCCCCTTCCCCTCGCTCTGCTCCTCCGTGTAACTGCCCACCAGAACTGCCCTCGCCGGGGCTTCCCGCGCTGCTCCTTGGATGCAACCGGAAAAAATGCTCGGACAAAACAAAATTCTAAGTTGTTGGTTTTAGGAGAGGACTCGGAGGCGGGGGTGGGTTTCCCCCCAGCGCGGCGCTCCCCGCGCCGGTCGCTCGGCCGTCCCGCCGGACCGCGGGCACCCAACTCGTTTCCTCCCGCCGTTCGGTGCCTCGGTGTCCTCTGCGCTTCTCCGCTCCTACCAGCCTGTTTTCTTTTTAATCTGCCGCGTTCAGACGTGTCCCGTAGGGAGCAGATTTGCCTCTAACGTGTTTCTTTTTCCCGGAGAAGGCGTTCGGTAGAGGCCAAGCCCGCTGCCGCTGGTTTGGGGCCGCAGCTCTGAGCGCCCCGACAGCCGCGGGCTGCGCCGGGCGGCGGCCGCTCCGCCCGGGGGAGGAGGAGGAGGAGCGGGGGGAGGAAGGTGCGTGCGGGGCACCGAGAGGTGCAGGGGTGAGGGGGACCCGGCCCGGGATGGGGAGGCCGCCGGTGTTTTGTGTCCAAGGGGAGTAACAACAGCGACGGAATGGGCTGTTTTGCGCTGAAAATGGCAGGGAGAAAAGGCGCATCTCTAACCGGCAAACGCACCTCAGGAACGAAATTGCCAGCTATTATTGGTTTAACTAATTGCTGAATAATTTGGAAATAGTGCAAAAAGCAGTAGTAGTCCCAGTGGTGAAGGTTGATGAAAGGTGGATGTAGTGTTCTCGCGGGTAACAGTTCAGCTTTAAAACGTGCATCAAATATGCATCCTTCCCGTTTAAAAAGTCTCCTTTTCGAAGGGATTAGCTTTTAATTGTCCTTCCGCTGTCTCCCTGTTCAGGGCAGATGTTCAGATTCAAAGGACCTGTAAACCGAACCAGCGGCATCTGTCCTGGATGGGAGCAGAGCTTGAGAAAGTATTTCTGCTCCCTGACTTCCTAAATAAACCGCCTTTAACTGCATTTTGAAAAATTCGTTTACAAAATAATTGCCCTCCGATTTTTTGGTCTTTTAATCTTTGTTTAAAGCCTGCAACTGAAACTTAAGAGGTCTTCCTTGAGTAACCTTTGGCTTCTTTGCTTAAGCTATTTATCTGCTTAACTATTTACTAGACCAATAATCGACTAATTTATGCAGTAATAAGTGCCATTGATCTTGGAAATCAGACCAGGTTGCCCACCGATGTAAAATTTCACAAACAAGTAGATTATTGCAAAGCCTTCGATTTTGTACCTTTGAAAGAGAAACCGTTTAAAAATGTGATAGTTTCTCTTTTTGTTTTTAATGGAACTTGTCACTTCCTTTTCAGAAATGCACTAGAAATGCACAGTGTTTTCCTCTGAGGGGATCTGCTCCTGGTAATTTGTGTAGAATACTTTGTGTAAATAAATCTACACCCAGAGGTGGTGGGAAAAGGGGGACCCGTAAACTTGGCAGAGTCGAGCCTGAAATTATCTCGTAAATTGCAGTAAATATTCGTCTGCAACACGAATTGCACTGACTTGCCCCCCCACACACACTTAAACAAGACTCCGTTTGCAGGGGGTTGATGGGTTTAGATGTGGATAGAGCCTGACAAGTGGAAAATAGCTTAGAAGGATGCTGGAACTTCAAAAAGATATCTTTTTCTTTCTTTCCTCCTCCTTTTTTTTTTTTTTTTTTAAGTGTGTTCCTGTGATCATAATTTCTTCCTTCACTTGTTGGAATGGAGTTTGATGGGTTTTTTAGGTCAGTAAATCAATGGCTGAAAGCTTGCTGAACACAGAAGCACCTGTAAAGAATTCTGAATACTCCCTTTGTGAATTAGACCCCAAACCTCCCACAGCCTCCTGTTTTATTCATTTGTATCTAGTCCGGCTTTAAGATACTAAAATATCCTGGAAAACGACAGCTGTATTGCACAAAGTTGGGTCACGAGGAGCTGATAAAATCCCCATAATCGATACAAACGGCCAAGACGCTCCTCTGCTGGCAGGAAGATGCAGGAGGATGCTCAGGGGTGCCCGAACAGCCCGGCCGGTGGAGCCCTCGGCCGGTGCGCACCGGCGCTGCCGGCGGCTTTTGGCCCCTCGCTGCGGAGGCGCCGACCCCGCTCCCGGCGGGGCTCGGGGAGCCCCCGGGCCCCCTGGAGCTGACCCTCCCACCGGGCTGTGTCACCAGTGGCTTTGGGGTTTTTTCCCTGACAAAAATGCGGAAAGCCTGGAAAGTTTTGAAGAGCGAATCTCTCCCTCTCGTTTCCCTTGGGACTAAAAGCTCAGAAGAAGCTTCCCTGTGACTCCAGGGGCAGAGCGAGCAGACGCCAGTCGCAGCCTAAAAAAGGATGTCTTGCAGAGATTTCCTAGGAAAAATAAGAATTTCCCCCTTTCCCTCTTCCTCTTTGCTTCTCCCCCTTCTGTCCCTCCCCCCGCCCCGCCGTGGTCACCTTTCGGGTCCCCGGGCGCATCTGGCCCCTCCCCGGGGGGCTGTGGCTGGGGTCGGGGCTGGGGCAGGCGCAGGGGTTGGGGTCGGGCTGGGGTCGGGCTGGGGTAGGGCGCCGGCCCCGCTCGCTGCCCGAGGGGCTGCCGGGAGCGCTCCCGCTGCCCGGGCGGGTGCGGGGCCGGGGCCGCGGGGCAGGGCCGGGGAGCGGAGCCGCTGCCCCTTCCCCCGGCGGGGCGGGCAGGAGGAGCGCGGCTCGGCCGGGGCTGCCCGGGTTAATCGCGGCGCTCAGGGACTGACCGCGCACTCGCACCGGCCATTCAGCGCCATTCAATTGGCTTAATTGAGGGGAAAAACCCTGGCGGCGGCTCCTCCCGCGGGGCCCGGGCCCGGCCGCCCCTCGCCGGCCCCTTTGTTCTCCCGCCCCGCAGCCCCGGCCCGGCCGCGCTCTCCCCGGGGGGCTCCGCGAACGGGGGGGCCCGGCCCTCCGGCAGCCCCGGGGGGCAGCGGGACGGGCAGCCCCTTTGTCCGAGGCGGCCAGGGAAGGCCGGAGGAAGGGGCTTCTAATCCTAGCTCTCCCTCCCGGCCTTGTGATGCTCAGCCTGGGTAATAGTTGCTCCTTAAGACAGGCTTTATATCCCCAGAAGCACTTCTGGAAATGTCAGGGCTGAGGCAGCGCTGTCGTGTCTGTTGCTCCATGGCTTGGCACAGGCACCCTCCTTTGAGCGCTGCCAGGTGCCTTGGGAGCAGCCACAGGTACCTTGCCTGCTTCCCCCCTGTGCATCCCTGTGGGGAAGAGATCAGGTGTCTGCCTTCTCCAGGAATCTTCTCCTTCCTCCAAGGGGAACGACTACCTCTGCTCCTGTCCCAAGCACCACTCCGAGGGCTCTGTCTCACTTCTGTCCCTTTGAGGATATGGGTAACACAAAGTCCTCTACACACTCCGACCAACAACAAATCTGGCTGCACCCCTGCCTGCTCTGGTTAATCACAAGTTCCCTCTCCAGGCAGCAGGAGGTTAAAACACCCCCTTGACTCCAATTACAGAAGGAAAGGGGTGTATGTTCCTGAGCCACTGAATATTGAGAGCTGATGCACACACCAAATGTGTCTCTTGTTTAATCATTCTTTCAGAATCAGGATTAGTTTGCTTTCTTTTGGTGTAATCTAACATGTCAAACACAAGTTCCTAAGAACAAAAGTTCCCCCGAAGGAAATTCCTCTTTCCCAGCTTCCTCATGGGCTACATCCTCAGCGACCTACTAACTACTGAGCACATGCTTTGAATCCCAAGGCACACGGGGCTCTGGCCATCTGAGGGTGGAGAGTACTCCCAAGTTCTCCTCCTCACACAGGCTTTGTTACAAAGGGACCAGCACATCCTGCTCTATGTTCCTGTTGCTTGGTTTAGAGAGATGTTACACATTATTCTGCAGAGGGTATTTTGGTCACCAATATCAAAATAAAATGTTTTCATCTCAGTCTGTGGACATCACCATCCTGTGACCAGGTGGCCCTGGGGCACTAAGGGAGGCTGTAAGTGCTTCCACTGCTGCACCAGCCGAGGGTGGGAGGGCCATGGCCTGGGTGTGGGGTCTGGGGAGAAGCCCAGGGGTCTTAGAAATGTTCTAGGGTCAAAAAAGAGACTTGGCACCGACTCAGAATTAGTTTTATCACAAAATAGAAATGAAACCTTAGTTAATTTAAGGCTCCTCTATTGAGCTGGAATTCTACCAATTGTATTTCTGAAATCCCAGCAGGAGCCTGAGATACTGCAATGGAATGGAAATGTTACATACAGATAGTTCAGCAATTCCTTTGGGAGATGCACAGGGACACCACAAAGGAACAGGGAAGATAGTGCCTGAAAACAGAGGGTTGCGTGAGGAGCATGTACAGTGTTAGTTTTACACCCTGGTGCCTTTTGCAGAAACTCCTGAGCTCTTCAAATCTCCTCTTACCCCCTTGGCCCGCTGTGTGTGTCTGTGCCTGCACCGCCCGTGGGCACTGCGGGCTGGGGAGGGACACAGGCGACACTGGACCACGTACAACAGACCTCTGGGGATGGTGCCAGGCCCCACAGCCGAATCCTGGCGGGGATTGGCACCAGCCAGGACTATTTCTGTCATGTTGGATGATGCCTGCAAGTAAAACCGCTTGCACAAGACAAGGAACAGCTCACGCCCTCTCACACTTCCAAAATGTGTTCTGTAACTTCCATCAGAGACAGGACATTTCACTAGCCCCAAATGGTACATGGTTACTGTCATTTTAGTATTATTTGTACTGAGTAAATGAGGAGGTAAAATGATGAGAAATTCCAAGAGTAAATTGTTCATTGTCCTGTTGGGGCTTGATGAAAAGCTGACACCCTCATTCCATTCAGGGAGGGTTTAGAATCACTTTTATACCCTTGGATTCTGAATGCATCTCATTCTGTATGGAACATGTTAAAATCCAAATCCTCTCAGCCCTAGGGTTTGTTTTGTTGCATATCAACAGGAACAGACCTCAGTACTGCAGACAGATATTTTGATGCATTTCCTCCTTGTCTCTGCCTTGTTATTTCTGGGAGGGTTTGAAAACCTTTAAGATGACACAAAAAGGTCTTTTCCATTACTAGTACCTAAAATTCTTTGAGTACATTTTAAAAACAAGCATGATTTGGTTTTACATTTCCCTAACAGAATTTTCAATGGGCATTATTATGTTATTCATCCTAGTACTCTTTATATCAGGAATTGTAACTACAAAGGAGACTGGACAACATAGGATAACTCCAGCTGGGCAACTGGATCTCAGTTGTTAAACCAGTAAAGATTTTGCTGCATCCCACCCAGCTCCATTACTGCTCCCTTGTTGCCATCTCCTTTAAGCACCCTACACCTTTTAACTCAGGTGCTTCCAGTCTTTCCATGCCGCAGGAGAACAAGCAGAAATGCTTCTTGTTGCCAGAATTTGGCACAAGATGCCGAGGTCTGGAAAGGATTTATACAAATGTATGCACATGCACGCACACACACACCCAGACACACATTTCTATAGGCAGGGCCATTCGCTTCAGCTGCTTTTTAAATTATAGGAGTACAGAAACACCCAGAAAAGTTGGAGCCTTCGGCCACTTTGGGCGTATCTGTTAAACAAACGTGCTTTGGGGCTTGGAGTGGATTTTTGCAGGCCTTGCTCTGTACTGTGCCATATCTTTTGGGCAGGTTTGGAAAGGCTGAGGTTTGGAAAGCAGCTACTGTAGCTGCTGCAAACCTGCTGTTTAGGGAATCCATATGCCTCCTGACCTAGGAATGCGTGCATTTTATGTGTGTTTTTCAGAACTGGTTTTAATGCGTGCCTTTCAGAATATGGGTATTTTTAATAGGGCTGAGTCCCACTGATGGACAGCAGGAATTCAAGAAACACTGTAAAGACATGTCCATGAGATGTACTCAGTTGTAATGAAGCAGCAATAAATAATGGACGATTGAAAACAAACCTGTTCAAGTGTTTAAGAAACTCACCAACAATTCACGTTTTAAAAGATTTTTTTCTCATTTTTTGCATGTTGTGTAGAGCAGAAGTAGTAGTGATTTTTTGTTACTTCTAACATAAAACTTGTAGGAAATAAGGAGAGACCTGTAGATTTTGGAACAGGAAAAGCTAATTAATGCAGATTGTCAGGGCTAATTTTCAGTTATATCCCTGATTTTTTTATTGGATTTAAGCTCAGTTCTTAATGTTATTTTAAGTGGTTTTCTATGGTTTACTGTATGCACAAATAAATGAGAAACTACTTTTAGTCTACGAGATTATTTTGCTTGGCATTCAACATCTAACACTCCTTGACAATTTTACGGTGTTCCTTGCTCGCAGACCTTCTTCACAGGCTGGATGGTTGATTTCTGCAAGTGTGCCCGTCAGTGTCATTCCCTGATTCCGAAGGGTGGGACAGAAATGATTGCTCGAACTCCTATTTGCAACAACTTTTTTTTTTTTTTTTTTTTAAGTGGAAATAAAAACACATAAATAATTAAGAGATATTTTTCATTTGGCATGCCAGGGAATATGTTGTATTAACAGCTTTATTTCTTTAGCTAGTCAGATTATAGTCATAACTTGCTGTCTGGTAGCCACAAACTTTATTTCTTTTATAGTGTTTCATTTAATAGTCTCTCTTGTACTCTACAGGGTTTAGTTTGATGGAGGAAATAATTATGATTTTAACTAGTCTGTTCCATCGAGATTTGAGTGGACTGTATTGCACAGCTCCCTTTGTGTGTTACAGTGCAATTTATGGTGAGCCCAAGTCCATGAAACCCCTTTACGGAGTGGGGGACAGCTCCTGTCTCCCACAGAAAGGGAGGAAAGGCTCTGTGGGGTGGGAGGGAAAGGGAAGCACACCTGACATTTTCAAAGCCCCAGAGGGACAGGGCAGAGTCCTGTCAGGCTGGTTACTGTGAGCATGAGAAATGGGCTGCAGAGGTGGCCACAGGCCTGGGCAATGCCCGTGCCCTGGGCAGGGCTGAGGCACCTCCAGCGCTGGGGGCAGTTCTGAGCCCCTCAGATAAGAGACACACGGAGGGGCTGGAGCGTGTGCAGGGAGGGGAACGGAACTGGGAAGGCGCTGGAGCAGCAGGAGCGGCTGAGGGAGCTGGGGGGGCTCAGCCTGAAGAAAAGGAGGCTCAGGGGGGACCCTCTCACCTCTCGGGTGGGGGTCGGGCTCTGCTCCCAGGGAACAAGGGACAGGACAAGAGGGAACGGCCTCCAGCTGTGCCAGGGGAGGGTCAGGTTGGATATCAGGAAAAATCTCTCCCCAGAAGGCTTGTCCAGCCCTGGCACAGCTGCCCAGAGCACTGGTGGAGTCCCTGTCCCTGGAGGGATTTGAAAGCTCTGGGGACATGGGTCAGTGGTGGTCTTGGCAGCACTGGAGGAACAGCTGGACACAATGACCTCAGGGGGCTTTTCCCACCTAAACTGTGCCATGAATGTGTGAGGTGGAGGGAAGGCCAGTAGGGCCGTGCCAGCACGTGCCACGGTGCGTTATCGCCACTGCTGCCCTCAGACAAATTGCAAACAGCGTTGGTGGAGCAGGAGACTTACAGACCTTTTCCTCTGGTTGCCCTAAGCTTTGAGCTGCAATGAGAACGACGGGGACCACCTGGACAGGGACCAGCAGTACCCCAGCAACCAGAAAACCAAGCGCATGAGGACGTCCTTCAAACACCACCAGCTGCGGACAATGAAGTCATACTTTGCTATCAACCACAATCCCGACGCCAAGGACTTGAAACAGCTGGCTCAGAAGACTGGCCTCACCAAAAGAGTTCTTCAGGTAAGGACAGCAGTCTTTTATCTTGAGAAGTGATCAAAATATCAATTTTACCTTTAAATGCCATGATTTTGCTGATTTTCAAGCTTTTCTTAGTTGTCCGTCCCTTCTGTGGGACTGCAGTTGAGTCCTAGAAAGTACCAGAAGAGTTAATTCTTAGGAGTTTCCCTAAAGCAGGTCATTTGGGTTCTAATTTTTAATGAGAGTTGTGAAGCTTTGGGGCCCTGTTTGTTCTCCCAGGATTACTTAATTCTGGTGCATGTTGTAGCTTTCAGTCTGCTGTAAGAAAAAGTGACTTATTTCCAATAGTGTGTTCCCTGTAAACAGAGACCTCTCAGTTCAGAAATTACTGTCAGTGTTTACCTTTGTAAGAAATTATTCAACAGTTTGAATTTATTTTATCAAGACAGGGAGGGAAGCTTTTCTTTCTTAACTGAAGTGGACATAGATTTAATTTTTCAAAAATTAATTTTCTATTCATGGTTGATAACTTAGAATGAAAGGAGACTGCATTTTAAAAGTACTGTTTCTCTAAAAGCTGGGTTTTAATTCCTTCATGGATACACACTCCATTTGAGTTATTTTGGGAAGGAAAGAGGGGAATATTAGTTGGTTCAGCTGCATTTTAATTTATAGTTCTGATTCAATAAGTCAATTTTAATGACCACTTATCCAAGTACCTATACATAAATTTGGGTGTACAGGAGCCATGACATTCCAAGACCTGTTGCTGAAAGTTTTAAGTGGGTCTTAATTGTAGAAAAAAAGATCTGTGATCTTCCCAGAGGCCGGCAGGGCTGAGCCCCCTCCTGGGACGGCTTGGGCAGCGTGTGAGGGGAGGGCACTAAACTGCTGGGGCAAACTGAGCTCCCTGGGGGATCCTGGACCCTGCAGCGTCAGCAGCCAGCAGAGGGAGGAATCCAGGCTCTGTGGGCCCCCAGTAAATCAGCACTGACAAACTGATCCCTTCTCTTGGGTCCGTCCCCGAGCTGCAGTCTGTGCTGCTGTCTCTGAGGCTGCTTTGTGGTGCAGGAACAGAGTCCTGGGACAGGAGCAGGGCACACCCAGCCCCGGTGCAGTGTCACTCACAGCAGCTGTCCTTCATCCCACACACGGGTGGAACAACTGACTGCATTTGTCTGTCCTTAGCTTGACCCTTCTCCTTTGTTTTACCCTCACAATTTAGACACTCCACTCTTTCCGTGCACTCACACCCGAATTACCTGCAAAGTTTCTCGGAGTGTGTTAAGACATCAGTGTCTAGAAAGTGTCCTTCTCTTGTATCATCTTTCTGTTCCTTCTCCTCGCTCCACACCAACATAGACTTCCCCCTCTCTCTTCTCTTTTCACTTAATGGATCTTTCCTTCCATCTGTTTTTCCAAGTTATCTTCTCTGCTTCTTCTTTTCCAGAATGCATTTCCTAGTCTCCAGAATTGGACTCCACCCCCATCACACTTCCATTCCTCTTTGTGTTTCTTCATTGCTTCTGTTTCCATCTCAATCCCGTTACATTTTGCCGTTTTAAGGTGCTTTGTGGTTCTTCTTTTCTTATGTGTTTCGTAGCAGACCTTTACAATTCCACCAAACTTCAGTTGTCATTTCGGTATTTGGTCGTTTCACTTCTTTCATGTCCCAGTTAAATTCTCCTGTGTGTCTGGGCTCCTGTAGCTGCAGAGTGGAGGGAGGTAATGGTTGTTGGTGAGAATCGCACCCTGAGGATGGTGCTGTGGGAGGCAATTCCAGAAAATGGCTTGGAGTGATCCTTGGTCTGGTATCGTTTGAGTTTTCCTGACTGTTATGAGCACTCTCTACTCACAGATGTTTTGTTTGAAAATGAATTTGGGCCATGATAAAACAAAGTTGTATTTCATGTTTTAGAACCTTTGTGCCCAGTCGGTTCATCTCTACCTGGGAGAGGCAATTTTTCAAACACTGAAGTTCACCTCCATGAGTTTCAGGGTTGCTCTTTGCTGGGGAAAACTCACCATGGTCACCGAGACAGTGCCACTTGTTCATTCTTCTGAGCCAGAGAGGCTTTATATACAATATTTCACCCCTTTGAGTCACTAATTACAGCAGAGTAATCACAGTGTGTGCAGTGAGCGAGCACAGTCTGCTTTGAGGGGACACATCCTCTAGATTTTGTGTCTCCACTTACTAGGTAGTGAAATTCAGGGAACAGGAATGTCTCCAGGTACTGTGGGAACCAGCAAAATAGTGTTTAAAAAATTGTTTCTAGCAGAGGCTGCTCATGGAGCTAACATGTAACAGAGGCAGCAGTGGAGGTGTTACAAACCAGAAAATAAAGTCATCTGAGGTGATGATCTCATTCACTGCAGTGGCCAATTCCCTTACAACACTTCGTGGGCCTATTTTCAATACTTCCCTATCAAATGGAGATGTTGTTTTGTTGCTGTTTGACAAAGAATTGGCTGCACAGATGGCTGAGGAGACAGTGCAGTATTTTGCCCTCAGTAAATACACTTGTGCCCAAGCAGTGAGTGCCCAGCTCCAGGCCCAGCCCTGCTCACCCAAGTGTGACTGGGGCTTTGCAGCTGCCTTTGTCTTTCAGGGGGAGTTTGGGTCCGTATTTTCCCGTTTGATTTGAAACAGCTCAGCCTTGTACTGATACAGTTGGACAGAAAACCACGAAATACTTCCCAGTGACTTTGTTTATTCCTCAGTCCCGAAGAGCAGATTCCTAATTGTGCAATTGGTGTGAGATAGGTCCTTCTGGAAGGATTCTTTCAGTTCAGTGTTTGGGTTGTTCTGTCTGTAATGCCCTCCCAGGTGCAGGGCCCTGCACTGCTGTGTCCAGCTGGAATAAAGGCCCAGGGCAGCAGGAGCAGCCCCACAGCCCAGGGAATAAGAGTTTCCATCTTTCACCATTCTCTAACATGAAATCTTTGCTGAATGGTGTCATATCTTAAGCACATACCAGAATGTCAGTATGGTGGTAATGATGTTATCCTTTTCTGTCATAAGACAAGGTATTTTCAGAATTTAAATTAACAAATAATTAGTTGTATTTTCAGTAATAATATGGATACTTATTGTTAGGCAATTTTGAAGAGCCTTATGACCATTAGCTGATTAACCCTGACAATATCTCAGTGAGGAAGGGAGTGAAAGCAGTCATATAATCTCTATATTGGAATAATACTTACAAGATCAGTGGTATGTTCTATGTCTAGCAGGAATTGCCACTATTAAAGAGACAGTGGCCCCTGTCTCACGTGGGGCTGCTGAAGGCTGCTCATTGGCAAGGGCAGCTGAGCTCCAGTTCTTGTATTTAATGGGAGATGAGGGGAACACAAACACCGAGGATCTCGGTCAGTTTACACACTGCATGTGTCCAATCACAAACACAAAAGGTACCATAGAGCCTGTGGCCCTGCTGGGGTTGAGGAGCAGTTGGACATTTAGGAACAGTGTAAATACACAAAACAGTTCTGGTGCCTTCGACCGCTTTACACACTTTAAACAAGACAATTGCTTTGTGAACAGGAATGAAAATGTTGCCTGTATTTGGCACTACTGCACACAAAATATGGGTGTTTTTAGTGCACATAGGTGTGTAATTGCCACAAGTAAGTGCACGTGCCACCAGCCCTGTGGTTTGCCTGGAGCAGGCCCACGGCAGGGCCTTCAGCGCCAGGGCCCGGCCCCCGTGCAGGGCTGTGTGCTCAGGAGCCCTCACACTGTGTCCTCAGGAGCCCACACTGTGTCCTCAGGAGCCCACACACTGTCCTCAGGAGCCCACACACTCACACTCCCTGTGCAGGACACAGAGGAGGAGCCCCGTGGAGGGAACGCAGTGGAGATCCTGTCCAGCTGTGCAGATCCTCACCCAGCCCGGCCCGTCTCCGAGGGGTGCAGAGGTGATGAGGCCCCTGGCATTTGGGATGGAAAGGAGCAGTCCCACCCCAGAGCAGGTCAGCGTGAGGACAGTGGGATCAGCACCGAGTCCATGGCAAAGAACATAACAACGAGAGGCCCGGGATAGATCAGCACAGTGACATTGCACCCGGTTTGTAGCAGGAACATCACCTGGTGTCAACAAATGCCATGTGGAACACAGGGTAGTTAATGACACTTTCAGATTTAGTCGCAGTCCTATGCTGTGCCTTGGTTTCAGCAAGTGTCACGGTTTTATTTTATCTGTTTTCAAAAAGGTCAGAAATATTTTCTCTTTAAGAACTCCTGCAGACAGTGGAAAGCATTATTGGACCTAAACACTGGAGCTTAACTGAGAAAGATGAAGTCGTAGCTTTGTCCTTCCCTCAGATAATAATCAAAGAATGCAAGAAATAGAAACCTTGGAAAAAGAATCTGTGTGTGGATGTAATTCCTACTGTAATGACAGTTTCTGATGCAGTGTGGGTCTTTGATACCCTTCAAGCCTCTTTTCCCAACATTATTCCGGTACTGAAAACATTTGAGAAGGTAAACCAGCCCAGGCAAAGGGAGCTGCAGCATTTGAGAAAGAAGAGTAAGAGAAGAGTGAGGAAGAGGGCCAGTCCTCTTAGGAAAGGGGGTGACAGCAGACACTGAGGCACGAGGAAGCTCCTGGGAGAGCAGGAGGGCAGAGCCATGGGATGAGCCACCGGTGCTCACGGTGGGAGATGGACGTGAGATGCGAGGGGGCCCAAGCTCGTGGGTTGATACCCATCGGGTGCTTGTTGTCTCCTCACCCACACAGATGGGACTGAGGGCCAGCAGGGCTCCTGCAGGCTGCCACGTTTCTGAACATCGCTTTACACAGCCAGCACAGACTCCCTCCCTCTGTGCTCAGCCCCTCCTGCCCCAGGCAGACGGTTTCCAGGGATGGCAGGAGAAGGAAGCAGGAATCCTTTGCAGGCAGAGGCCGCTTCTCATGACCAGGGCTACTCTTCTAACATGTTACCAGTAAAAACATCTTTCCCAATTCCAGCACTGATGAATTTGTGAATGTGCTTTTGCTTGTCGAAACTCTGCAGCTCTTTAAATGCTACCCTGTTATATTGAACTGTTCCAGGTTTGGTTTCAAAATGCTCGAGCCAAATTCAGACGGAACCTCTTACGTCAAGAAAACACAGGGGTGGATAAGACTTCAGACTCCACACTGCAAGCAGGGACCCCGTCAGGCCCTGCCTCAGAAATATCCAATGCCTCCATGAGTCCATCCAGCACTCCCACGACTTTAACGGACTTGACTAACCCCACCATGCCTACTGTGACGTCTGTCCTGACATCAGTGCCCGGGAGCCTTGAGGTTCATGAATCTCGAAGTCCTTCACAGACAACTCTTACAAATCTTTTCTGATGACTCTTTCTTAATAATTTCTTTAAAAAAGAAATTATTCTTAGCTGAAATTCCAAGTGTATTTTAATAGAGGCTTTGAGCAACTGACTAACCACAATTAGGATCTCTCCTAAAACAACAGAAGGAAATGTAGTGTTCTGGTATTATGGAGTACGGACCGAGGAATAACTTGGAAGATCTATTGCAACACAACATTTGTGTAACTGTACAGTTTTGTGGACTGAGCAAGGGAAACAGCAATTAATTTAAGTTGGCTAAAGCTTCTGTATTTTCAAAGACTGCCATGTGCCTTATATACTGTTTTATCTACATTCTTTGGATTCCATGTCCACTTCTCTCTTTTTCTCTCTGTATATTTATGACCAGGGCAAAAATGTTAAAGAGTTTGTTACTTTGGGTAGTCCTAAGCCTTTCATTGTTGCTTTGTTGTTTTAGAATTTTAAGGTCGAAGTCTGTTCGAATACCAGAATTTGTAAAATCTAATCAGTAATAAAACCACTTATGGAAACTACTTGGTAACGGCTGCAGTTACATTTAACATTAGTGTCACAGTCGAGGTAGGCTGAGTGGGTGTAAAAGGGTTAGAAAACTGCACTTCAAACACAGTATCTGCCTAGGAAAAACCCTAAATATGATGTACACATTCCTCCCGTTCCTGAAGTATGTATGGCGAGAACTCCAGCTTGTGCAACAGTCTAGGTATCCTCATTGTAGAGAAATAAATGTTAGTTGCAGGTAGAAGTTATCAGATAATGTTAAAATTCAAACAGAAAACTGTCCTTGATTTTGCTGTGTGGAACAAGCCTGGCTTCAGCCAGTGTGAGAAAGCAGCCTGGGGCTTGTCCCGTGGGCACTGCGAAATGCTTTCCCTGGGAAAGGGGCAGAAGTATTTCAGGTCGATTTACAACATCGGTGGGCAAAGTCGAGGCAAAATTATGTTCTATGAAGTCACTGCCTTACATTTTTTGTAATGCTTTGAAGGAATAAAAAGCCAAGGAAGAACATTGACACTGATAAAAGTGGTTATTCCTTTAATCATTATGGACCTTTCAGTACGATTCAATTCCTTCTCCCCAAAAATCTCTGCAGAATATAACTCATATTTTGAGTTTTTTCCCTCTTGTTTCTGAAGATGCTTTTCTGTAATTAAAGAAATACCTCAGCAAAGTTAAACGTGTATAAGAACGAGTCTACACTGCGCTGTTTGCCCAGTAGGTTTGGAGGTTTGGAGTGGTACATAAGATGCAGATGGCTGTTCCTTTTCAAACCTGTTCCAATCAGTTATTTCAGTCAGATGCTGGGTTATGTGTGGCCAGCTCTCTAAAACTAATCCCTCGTTCCCATTGGATCAGAATTACTGAAAGATTATTCCGAATAAACAGCAAGAGGGGTGCCAAGATTCGTGTTCTTTGCCCTTCTCAGGGCATTGAAGATGATTTTGCAGGCTGGACTCTCTGCTAACAATGTTTTGGTTTTAAAAGCGCCACATTTATTCCACTTTCTGAGCTGAAAATTTGCCATTCTTGTGCAAGCCAAATTCCTGTCGAGATCAGGGAGAGATTTCAGAGCATAAGGACTGTGGGATAGAATCGCTGACATAATTAGGTCATTTATTAACCTTTTTTACACTTCAGCTTAAAAAACCCCACAGGTGAGCTATGGGAAAAGCAAGGTAGTCCTCAAAAGATGAAAACTAGCTGAGATCTGTGAGAGGGATTAAGGTCTGGTCACCAAACCCAAGGGGCTGGCAGAGCCCTTTGAGTTTGTGCACAGGGATCAGACACTAAAAACGATAATTTGGGCTGAATTAATAACTGTTACAGGTTTGTCCAGGACATTTTCCCTCGTAATCCAAGTGTCTAACAAGGACATTGTGCTGGTTGCTGGACGGTAACAGAGCACAGATCTGCCTTTCAAAGCTGTTCTGGCACGGAGATTCTGCTCTTTGTAACGTTTTGCTCATTGTCACTCACCTTGGAGGTTGTATTTTTCTTTTTACGTGCTTAGCTGGATCTTTTCTTGATTTAAAAGGCAATTTTGGTCTGCTGTTAAATGGTTACAGCCCGTAATTAAACCCCTGTGTATTAACCTGTAAACAGTTTGACAAAGCTGACTCCTGAATTCTGAAGTGTGACGGCAAATGTAGCGGAAAACAACTCCAGTGGTTCTTTCCACCTGTACTGCTGTTGTTTGTGGTCTTGTGTTCAGCTACCTGACTCCACGTGGATGGAAGTTCCTTTCAGATCAGTTCTCACTATTGCCTTTTCAGATACCTGGCGCCCATGGAGGGGAATATTCTTGTGTTAATCTTACCTGCAACCTATACGAGACAATTAGAGAAATTGTCTGGTTTAATCAAATCAGGGATTTTGCATATAAATAAGAGACAATATTCTATGTAGGGTCTTTATGTAGGTGCATTAGGATTCACTCTGGCTCCGATGGCCTATGTTGTCCCCATGATTGTTTCAATCCTGTGGTATTGTTTGGTTGTTTAGAGCTTGTTGGTTTTGAATGCTGTACATTTTTTTACTACTGCAATCCTGATGTTTCTTCACATTCTTGTACAGTTCCACATTTGATGTATTAGTCTGGAATTCTGTTAAAAACATGAACAAAAATGGAAATGATATTTCTTTGGAAGTGTATTTTTACTGTATATCTAATTTGAACTAGTTGAACATACTTCTTTACATTTTGCATGATAGGTGTGTAGTTCATTTTTTAAATATGAAAGAGGCTTAAGAGTAACTTAGAACGAGAATATAATGAAACTATACAAATATGGAAATACATACAATGATTTGCTACTTTTTGACTCAAGAAACTTTTTGAAATACATTTTACCTAGTTTATTTAAGATAATGCAGATATTTTGTCTTTGAGTTCATACATAACACAGAATATGAAAGGGGATTACACACTAGAAAGACTTTCAAGTCACCTTGGCAGCCACCACCACACTGGATTATTCTTGTCAAAGAGAGAGAAAGGACATTTGAATTTAAGAACACTGAATAAACATATTTTGATCTACAACAGAGAGGGATGGGATTGCTGCAAGTGATATGTAACCACAGCTTAAAATCTATTGACACTGTTAATGGCTACATTTCATAACACTTATTTCTTATTCAAATTACCTAAGTTTGGGGAGAGAAGACCAAGGATTTTTATACTAATGAAGAAGCTGAATGGGTGCCCTGGAAGCAGAAGTCAATCTATTACAGATACTATGGATGCAGAAAGTGCCTCCAAGATGTTTTGGTTCCCAAACTATCTTTTCCTCCTGTCTGTTAAAAACCCCCACGTAACTGGGCCACTTTCCTAGAGCTGTTTGCTATTTTTTGTCTGTTGGAAGGAAGCTTAGGCACCTCTGAGAACAATCTTCATCTAAAGGAGAAGGAGAAAGAAACAGGAATCAGAATAAGAATGGGGCTCAGGGACACCCAGGTACTGGGAGGAGTGCTGTGGGTACTGCTTGTGCTCCTCACTCAGTGGTGCTTGGAAGGAGGGATTTTAAATGGAAGTAGGTGAATTATGGGGGGTTTGTTTCTAACTTCAGCAAGCCAGAGCTAATGACACTGCTCTGTTGCTGTTCTTTAAAATGAAATTTGACACAAGTTACCATTAGGAAGGGTCATCACACCAAAGACAGTGAGGAGAGAAGCCCAGACTTTTGAAGAAGGACTTTTTCCCCCTTTCCTTGTCTTTCCATCTTTTGCCCCTGGTTCTCCTACATCCCCTTGCTGCCCCAGCTCATGTCCTGGTTGGTGGGGAGCTCCCAGTCCCCAGCTGGGGCTCAGATGAGCCTGGAACTGGCCCAGGTTTGCCTGGGAATGACCCTGCAGCAGGAGCAGACCCTCCCCAGCAGTTCCTACCAGCACAGGAGCTGTTTGTGCTGGGGAGGGAGAATCAGCCCCCCAAATGATCTCCACTGATGCAGGGAGTGCAGACAGGCCCCGCAGACAGAAATGCACACTCACTGCTGCCATTCTGCTGTGCTCTGCCCCCAGCCTTCCCAGGAATTCAACACCTGCTGCTCTCCCCACTCCACCAGTAAAGCCAGGGCTGAGCTGCACAGGGGCCATGAGTGGCATTTATCAGTTTGACAATTCCTTTAATCAAGGACCAGATAAAAAGGTACACTGGGCACGTAATGGGCTTCTGGTCAGATTAGGATGATGTTGGCAGCTCTTTCTGGCCTAACAACTGGATTTCTGTAGCAACTAAGGTCAGTAAATATTTTGGGTGTTTTGTTTTGAGCAAAGCACAGTACTTAAAATATGCAACCTGCTGTCAGTAAATTCAGACCCTGCAGTATCACTAATGTACTAATGCAGAACACTGTGCAAATTATCATTATTTCCAGAGAATGTCACTGCTGTGGAAGTTCTTCTTTTGATAAAAAAAGTCCCGGTAAAGGCACGGCCCTGCCTATGTATTTACACAGCTTGTTTACATGCCTCTATGTCAATTTATTACATTGTAAAATCCAACACTTAACAGGAAGTTACATTTTTGCAACAACCTTTAGGAAAAAAGAGAAATAATTAAGCTTCATTAAAGAGAGAAACCTATTCTATCCCTGCATAGTTCAGCCCAGTAGCTACAGAAAAAAGAAAAAGAAATAACAGCCAAACCAAGAGGGACACAAATATTTGGGAAGTGCAATGTAACTCCATGGTGACCCGGTTTAATTGATAAATCTCAGTGGTACAGATCCGGGGTCAGCAGTGCTGGGAAGCCACAACGGATCTGCAGCGCTGCAAACACAGAAATAGCCACGGATTTTTCATGCAGTGACACAAAACTACCCAGGCTGTTCTCCATCCGTGGCTCAGGAATTACTGGGAATTTAATGTTCCTTTGTTCCTGCTCAGAAACAGGGTTTTTTTCCCCTAGAAGAGGGGTTTGATTTTCCAAGGGCACAGGGTGCAATACAGAGCAGCAATGGCAAGGAGCTCTCAGCCATGGATTCTGGGTGTTCTCAGAGGCCTGTCCGAGACAGCTGGAGGTGATTCCTTCCTTGCACTGAGCTCAACCCCACACTGTCCCAGTGCTCTGCATGCAGGGTCTGACAGACCTTGCTGCCTGTCCTTGGGGACTGCAGGGAGCAGTCCCAGAGGGCTGTTCTGTTCTCCCAGCTCTGCCTGCTGAGCTCTGGTGGTGAACTGGGGAGTGGCAGGACCCGCAGGGTGGATCAACGTGGCCAGGCAGTGCCCAGCACTCCGGAGCTCCACCTGAGCTGGCCACACCCTCCTGCAGGTTCAGAGCAGGGTCTTGCCCAACTGGCCCCCAGACAGAGCTGTGGCCCATCTGTTAACCCTGGCAGGTGGAAGTGCAGACATGGGATCAGTGTGCACAGGTTTTCTCCAGCCCACAGAAACTACATGTCACCAACTCTTTCTTCTGCACTCCCACAGCCGTCCCATGAGTTTCATCAGTCACTTTTTGTAGTCCTTCTTTGGAAATGAAGACTAACAAAAGAAATACTCTGTAATATGGCTTTGCAGGCTGTGACTGAGCAAGAAACTGATGCCAAGCCTTGCCCAAGTCTGGGAAAGGATTCTGGGAATGTAGGGCAGAGCAATTTCTGAAAGGCCAGTCTCTCACCCACAGACAGATTAAAGGGTGAACAGGCATCACTGCTTGGACCAAGTCCCCAGAGACATCTCATCTCTTGAACCCAGAGCATCTGAGAATTTGTTAATGGTCATATGAAACTTCATCCTTGCTTTTGTAATTATCCCAGATGAGCAGTTCCAGCTTTTTCACACTGTCGGTCCCAGAACACTTTCTACTGGATTTAACCCTGCTGACCACGGACTTGCCTTTGTTAGTTCACATGCACAGATCCCTCAGAAGTAGCTCAAAAGCTTTTACATCCCCTTTTGTTCCTGTCTGATCTGGCCGTTTCTGAGCAGCCTGCAGACAAGTGTGAGCTGCCCATGGACTCGGGAGATGAGATGTTTCATACCAGGAGCTTGCACTGCTCTTTGAACAGTGGCTCTTCCCTCCAGCACTGTCTGCAGTGCTCACTTTCATCTGGGCAGGGCTCTAGGAGAGTCCTTGTAACGGGCTGCTGCCCTGGCCAGCTGCTGATGGCTTTTGGAGCTGATGTTGTGCTTAAAGAAATCAGGCATGGATGTTCCTACTATCCTGTTCAGTCAGTTCCAGTTAATGCAGACCCAGACTTTCTCCATTTCATACCCATTGGCACTGACTCCCAACACCTCACCCAGCACACTGGGTGACAGCACAAGTCACACTGCAGCCACTGCCACTGGTGCTACAGAAACAAGCCCAACCACCCACTCTCTGAGAGGCTTTTTAACGTAATGAAGGCATTTGTGGCCTTCATTTCTCTGTGTGTCTTTTCCAGTTCTGCCCCGTTGTGCCTACAGAATTCAGGAATCCACGTTAGATTAATATAAAAGCTGCACAATGCTCTGTTCTGTGATCCTTTACTCCTCAGCTCCCTGAGTGCAGGCAGTTCCTACTCATGCTTTGTGTTCATAGTCTCTTTCTGTGTCTCTGTTTTGTCCTGGAGATTATAGATTGTGCTCACCAGCACCCACCAGCACTGACAGGATTCTCCGGAGTCCCTTCTGGCTGTTCCTGCACAAAATGAGGAGGCTCAGAAAAGACATTGGCAGCTATTTGTAGAATTACTTTTTCCTCATAAGACAGCTCCAGCTCCTGGGGATCAGTGCTGGGAGTGAAAGGTGTGTCACTGCCTCTCACATGGGGGTCCCATCATTGTCAGCTGCCTCGGAACAGCCCCAGAGCTGGGCTGCTTTCACAGGATCTGCCTAAAATATAATCCACTTTAATTCCAGAATTAAACTGGGGGTGATGCCAGGCATTAAAGGGAAGAATGTGTTTCTGGCAGGACTGCAGGTGTTTGTGTCCTCTCTGGCTGTGCCTGCTGGCTGGAGCAGAGGCCAGGGCAGCACTGCTGCCTCCTGCTGCCACCGCAGCCTCTCCGGTGCAGGGATGGGAGCGCCACTCGGGCAAAGTGCTCCCCAGTTCCTGAGTGCACAGTGCCAAAGTGGAGCAAAATGCACTTCCCACAGGAGGCTGGGAGCAAATGGCAGGGAGTAGGTGGGTGTGAGTGCCTCCAGCCTCTCCTCTGGGTGCTGCCTGACCCAGCCGAGGAACCAGAAACTACTGCACGGCCTTTTAGGGTTTGCAAGATGTGTGAGAACACCCAAATCCATCCCACACAACAGACTGGAGGAATTTAGGGTGGAAGGTACTGAAGGGAGTCTCCATTTTTCTGGGAGGGACACTAGGTCATGTATTTGGTGCCTGCAGATGAGGAGGCACAGGCCTGTGAAGGAGGGGTGTGGGGAACTGAGCACAGCCAGCACAGGCAAGGGGAGAGTGTCAGGGCTGCACCTTCCCTTCCACGCTTGCAAACGTCCTGTCAGGAATCTGAAGGAGACAAACCCCGGCTATTCCATGTGCTGCTCTTTGCTACTGTGAGCTGGCTGCCTTCACCCACTGTCCTTCCTTAGCAGTGGCTCTGTTGTTACGTGTGAATAATTGACAGGGAGAGGTGTCACTGCACGAGCCTGGCTGAGCCCCCAGCCCTACAAAGCCTGGGACAGGAAGCTGTAAGCCA